ATGAGAGATGTGCAAACATGAGGCACCTTGAATGTACTACAAGAAAAATCTGAAAAAAGTGTCATTTTCAGGAGAAAACTGCCCTGACAAATGTACACAATTATGGTGGGATTTTCAAAATCACAGAGCATTAGCCTAATTACACTGAAGAAAATGGGAGCTTTAGTTACTTCAACAGGAACAGAGTTAGGAAGCACAAAGTACATTTTGCAAATCCTTACTCTTACTTTATGGGTTGACCCAATGCCTAGTGAAGCCAATGAAAAGACTCCCATTGACTTCACTGAAGATTGGATCAGACTCTTAGGGCTTATTATTGTGAGCAGTCTAACGGAAGTCAATGACAACAATTTTTGGTGAATGATAAATTTACCAAAAAATGAAGTTTTGGCCAACGAAAATATGAGGAAGTTGTTTTAAAAAAAGTCAAGAGAGTTCATTTTGACATTTTCAAAATGAGCCATTTTGACATTTAGTTTCAAATTGATCTGTTTCATTTAGAAAATGTCATTTCGAATCAACGTTTCATTTTTAAAATGTCTTTTCATTCGACCAAGATGATTTTTTTTTCTGTTTTTTTTTGTTTTGGTAAGAAAAACCAAAAACACCAAATCAGTTCAGATTTGGTTTTTTTGGATTTTTCAGTTAAGCCCTGAACCCAAAACATCAGTTATTCACTCACCTCTAAGGAGTAGGAAAGGTACAAAGGACTGGGATCTTTGTATTCAGTTTACATTTTGAATGTGTTCTTAGTAATCAAAAGGCTAAGGACTTCCACACTACCCCCTCTTTTAAATGCAAGATTAGATTAGCTGGGTCAGTGTTTATAACAGTTTCCAGATTGCTCACATAAATTATAATCCATGCAGAGAAATTTAACCAGTGCTAGTTGGTAAAAGATGTCCTATATGCTTCTTCTCACTGAGAATACATGTCTAGCAGAAACAGTACATGGTTTACATCAAGTATTTTTTCAGTTATGAGTAGACACAAAAAGCAATTTTCAGAAATTAAAAAAACCACCACCTATTCCAAATCTCATTACCTAGAAAGGACTTGTCTAATTAGCCTCAGACTTTCCAGAACAGTTCTCCTCTGGACAACATTTAAATGTGAAAAACTTTTGCTTTCTTTCCTTAAAACATTTTCTGTTTGTACCCACTTAAAATGGTAACAGGCAATTATGGTGTCACTACTTTGGCTTTGTAATTGTGAATCTCACTTTTATCATGTTATCACAGGGTGGGATGGCCCTTCCAGGTAGCTGGGTTTAGTCCCCACCTGTGATTAATTAGTTGCATCCCAGCTGGTGAGATAAAAGGCCAATAAGCAGCTCACTTACAGGGAGAAGGGATGCTCATGCAGGAGACTCAGGAAATAACCTGGTAAGGAGGGCTTGCCACACCAGCCAGATGAAAGGCCTGGGTGGAGATAACTGCTATGTAGGCAGCAGCAAAAGACCTCTGAGGCAAAGGCTTTAGCAGGGGCCAAGACCTGGTTTACCTCTTTTGGCTGACATTTAGCTGTGTTTGAACAATAAATGCATCCCCGGAGAAAGGGACTGAAATATTGTCAGTGGTGGTAGATTCACTGATGCACTGGCCAGTGAACTAGCCCACCAGCTTGCCTGAAAGTGGGGAAACAAAAACAGGGTTCTTTGCTATGTTTGGGGAGACCCTGCTACACACATGTAGCACTGCAATAGGTATATGGCTGACAAAGCGGTCAAAAAGCTTGATGTAAACAAACTGAAGAGAGTCCAGAGGAGAGCACCAAAAATGATAAAAGGTTTACAAAGCCTCACCTATGAAGAAAGTTTAAGAAAACCTGGCATGCTTAGTCTTGAGAAAAGAAGACTGAGGAGGGACTTTATAAGTCTTCCAGTATCATAAGGGATGTTATACAGAAGATGGTAATCAACTGTTCTCCCTGTCCACTGAAGGTAGGAAAAATAGCAATGGGCTTAATCTGCAGTGAGGGAGATTTAGATTAGACATTAGGAAAAGAGCTGTAAGAACAGTTAAATTCTGGAATAGGTTTCCAAGCGAGGTTGTGGAATCCCGGTCAACAGAGATTTTTTAAGAACAAATTAGACAAACACCTGTCAGTGATGGTCTTCTAGATATACTTGGTATCAAAGTCCCTTTGAGCCCTACACTTCTACATTTCTATGATTCTATCCAAAATCCCATTTGACTGAAGTGAATGGGAATCTTGGTATTGACTTTAACGGGTACTGGATCAAACCTGAAGTCCTGATTTATCACCCATGTTCATCATTTCTTTGAATGTCATCATTCATTTTTTGGGAGCATAACTCTCTCCTTCTCTAAGTCCCCATTGTGACATTCTATACCTTGGAGGAGCATACTGCAACCCCATATTCCTCATTTTCATATAATCGTGATCTTACATATAAAACATGCCTTGTAAGGTATTAGGGGAAAGGTTATGATCTGCTGAAAGTCAGTTCTCTATCCATACATGTATATCATTAATGCATATGAAGTTATGAGAATTGTGTTGTATGGTGGTCACTAAAACATGCTGTAAATTGGGGAATCAGCCGGATATTACCTCCCCAGAGGCAACAGCAAGGAAAGTAACCAACACCTGGACAGGGTGTCAAACAACCCATCATATTTATGTATTTATGTATTATGAACAACATATTGTTCAATATCTTCATAAATGATCTGGAGGATGGTGTGGATTGCACTTTCAGCAAATTTGCGGATGATACTAAACTGGGAGGAGTGGTAGATACGCTGGAGGGGAGGGATAGGATACAGAAGGACCTAGACAAATTGGAGGATTGGGCCAAAAGAAATCTGATGAGGTTCAATAAGGATAAGTGCAGGGTCCTGCACTTAGGACGGAAGAACCCAATGCACAGCTACAGACTAGGGACCGAATGGCTAGGCAGCAGTTCTGCGGAAAAGGACCTAGGGGTGACAGTGGACGAGAAGCTGGATATGAGTCAGCAGCGTGCCCTGGTTGCCAAGAAGGCCAATGGCATTTTGGGATGTATAAGTAGGGGCATAGCGAGCAGATCGAGGGACGTGATCGTTCCCCTCTATTCGACATTGGTGAGGCCTCATCTGGAGTACTGTGTCCAGTTTTGGGCCCCACACTTCAAGAAGGATGTGGATAAATTGGAGAGAGTCCAGCGAAGGGCAACAAAAATGATTAGGGGTCTGGAACACATGAGTTATGAGGAGAGGCTGAGGGAGCTGGGATTGTTTAGCCTGCAGAAGAGAAGAATGAGGGGGGATTTGATAGCTGCTTTCAACTACCTGAAAGGGGGTTCCAAAGAGGATGGCTCTAGACTGTTCTCAATGGTATCAGATGACAGAACGAGGAGTAATGGTCTCAAGCTGCAGTGGGGGAGGTTTAGATTGGATATTAGGAAAAACTTTTTCACTAAGAGGGTGGTGAAACACTGGAATGCGTTACCTAGGGAGGTGGTAGAATCTCCTTCCTTAGAGGTTTTTAAGGTCAGGCTTGACAAAGCCCTGGCTGGGATGATTTAACTGGGAATTGGTCCTGCTTCGAGCAGGGGGTTGGACTAGATGACCTTCTGGGGTCCCTTCCAACCCTTATATTCTATGATTCTATGATCAACAGCCACTGTCCAGCAAGGGAGCTACAATGCAGTGACTCACCTGCATGAGGCCACACCAGGGGAACTGCTCAACCTCGCTTGGAGAGACTCAGGGCTAGTCTACACTGGAAGTGCTAAAGTGGTGCTGCGGCAGCGCTTTAACGTGCCTTGTGTGGTCATGGCGCAGCGCTGAGAGAGAGCTCTTAAAAAAACCCACCTCCATGAAGGGCGTAGCTACCAGCGCTGGGAGAATGGCTGGCACTTTCTGTCTACACTGCCGCTTTACAGCGCTGAAACTTGCTGCCCTCAGCGGGTGGTTTTTCACATCCTTGAGTGAGAAAGTTGCAGTGCTGTAAATTGTCAGTGTAGACAAGCCCTCAGCAATGCCTCCCAAACATGCCTGAACTTGTGCTCCCCAAGCACATGGACTGAGGGTATAAAACAGACAGAGTGGACCACACTGGGCCCTTCTCCTGCCCCCACCTATGGTGCAATCAACCAAGACACTGAGAAGAAGACAAGACTACAACACAGCAGATTGGCCCAGCTTTAAGGAACAAACCTGTATATTAAGGACTGCAATATTCAGTGGGGTGAAAAAAACGGCTTAATCTAGTTGCTGCTCAGTCTAATAAGGTTGAGAGTTTAGACTGTGTGCTTATATTTTATTTCTTTTGGTAACTAACTCTGACTTTTTGCCTATCACTTAAAATCTACCTTTTATAGTCAACACATTTGTTTAATTGTTTTTCTTTATCAGTGAGTTTGTATGAAGAGTGTGGCAAAACTGCTCAGGTTTTCCAAAGGCTGGTGTATGTCCACTTTCCATTGCTGAAGTGTTGAACCAATTAATAAATATGCACTGCCCATCTTGAGCAGTGCAAGATGGTATATTCCTGGAGTACAGTGCTGGGAGCTGAGGGGATTTGGCTGGTGCCTTTCTCTGTGTGATTCATGAGTGGCTCTGGGAACATTCATACAATCCGGCTGGGTGTGGGGGCTCCACATGCAGTTGTGCTGAGTGATCACAGCTCCTGGAGGGGTTGCTGCTGGTCACTAGCAAGGCATTGTGAAAGACAGCACAGGCTGGGGAGACTTCAGGGGGCACAGTCCCAGGATGCATCCCAGTCCCAGGCTGCACCCCGGGGGGATCCCGTCACACCCACCTTCTCCACCAGAAATAAGCTATTGTTCACAAGCCCACAACATAATAATATTTTCCTCCTCACTTTCCATTAAGTGGAGCTTCAGCATAACACACATTTACAACTGACACTTAAATGCACCAAAAGGAGGTGCAGGTTTCAATCCACTTCTCAACAAAGAAAGTTTCACAATGACCCAATGATAAACTATTAATTCAACTATCATACAGTTAATTGTGCAGGGTGTTTACCTGAATGAAAGGGAAAAGAAGTCCCACTGAGAAGTTGGAGAGCCAGTTGACTGTCCCAGCTATCAGAAATGCGGCAGGCTTTTGAGACTGCTGAAAAAACTCTCCCGTCAAGACAAATGGAATCCCACCTGAAATGTAACAGCCAAGAAATGGTTGGTTTAATAAACTCTGATGCCTAAAGCTGTGGTAGCAATCAATATGGAAATGTCAAAAATTCACAAGCACTGAGATCTGCGACATCAATCAATTGTCTGGTGCAGCTCTCCATCTCTATTCTGGTGTGAAGTTATAACAGGTAGACCTTGAACACTACGATTTATTATTCCACATGGTTTATTGAAACTTTAATTTTAAAGGGCTTGGCTTTCCCCTCCATTATACCAGCTTTACATGAGTATAACTCCTTTGTGGAGTTAGAATGATGTAAAACTGGTAACAGAATGGATAATGACAGGTTTCAGAGTAACAGCCGTGTTAGTCTGTATTCGCAAAAAGAAAAGGAGTACTTGTAGCACCTTAGAGACTAACCAATTTATTTGAGCATGAGCGGACAGTGGGGTGGGAGGAGGTATTGTTTCATATTCTCTGTGTGTATATAAAGTCTGCTGCAGTTTCCACGGTATGCATCCGATGAAGTGAGCTGTAGCTCACGAAAGCTCATGCTCAAATAAATTGGTTAGTCTCTAAGGTGCCACAAGTACTCCTTTTCTTTTTAGAATGGATAATGGAGCCCAAAGTGTTTACCAATTTAATTTTAAGTTGATAACACATGGGAGCGGTTTAACTCCTGTTCTTACTAAAACAGTCAAAATGCTGCAGATTGAGGGATATTCTGAAACAGATTTTATGTTAAACATTAGTATTTGGACAGGTGATTTAGAAATATACTTTAAAAAAGAAAGATGATATATTAAATAACTTCATAATTATTCACATTTTTGTGACAGTGAAGCTGGAAATGATGAAAAGGCAAATGATTACTACTTTATTTGGTATACTTTCATTGTTATTTATTTTACACACACACAGTTTATATTGAAAATGTTCTTTTAATTCTAATCCCTCTGGAAAATCCATTTTTCCATATTACCCACAAATTTAAAAAAACAAACCCTATTGTATGTTATATCCATTCTCTGTGTTGTCTCCCAGTATGTTTCTATCTGATCTCTCTTTGTCCTTTCGATTGTTATCTCCTTGGGTGGAGACTTTATCTTCATTTGGCTTTTGCATAGCACTGAACACACTTGTCAGTGCTTAAAAATGATATACCAATAGACTGCTACAATACAGTAACTAGTGCTTAACAGTACAACACTTAAAATACATATAGTATCAACCATACTATGAACACTAAGACATAACCCTTTGCAGACATATAAAGGGACATATAGAAAAGATAGGGCATGTACCTTACTAACATGCAGTAGGAAGTCCGGTCTCTGCCTCAAAGAACTTAAAGTCTAGTGAAACAATGGACACATGGAAAGAGGGGAATGGGATGAACAAAAAGCCATCTGACTGATAGTACAGTTCAGCATGCATCATATTAACTATTACTATAATTTATTCATTTTACGACAGTGTCTGAAAGCCCCAACTGAATTTGAGGCCCTATTGCGCTAGGTCTGTACATACACACAGTAAAAGACAGTCCCTGCCCCAAAGAGCTTACTGTCTAAATGGACAGTACAAAGGGGACAGAAAGGTAGTATTGTTATCCTCATCTTACAGATGGGGAAATGAGGTACCAAGCCACTAAGTGCTATTACCTCAAAGCTACCCATCCTGTCCATATTCTACAACTAAAAAACTGTATTCATCTCTATGGGGAATTAGTAGAGTGCACTGGCTTTTCTGTACAGCACTTTGAAGATGTATAATGAAGTGATATGTAATGGTTCAATAGGAGCATCTCTTATAGTGTATATTACAAAGCACAGGCAACACACTGTCTCTTAATCCTCCTAATCTCCCTGCACAGAGAGATTTCCGTACTCTTGGGACCTGGGTTCAACTTCTAGGTTCTGGCAGGCAAGATAACTGCATCTGTTATGTCAGCATCTGTTTCAGATCTTGACATGCCATGTGAGGAAGCTGTTTGCCAGAGCATTTGCCCTGTGGAGAGAGGAAGTGAAGCACTGCATACGCAGAAACCATAGAATGAGGATTTATTTATATTTATTTATTCTGTCATGCCTTTGCTGTAGGACAAGCTACAGAGGTGTTGCTGTTCTTGTCAGTATAATCAAAATCTTGTTCTAGATCCACTTGAGAAAATACACATTGTATAAGAGAGGAAAAGAGCCAAAGGCAAAAAGAAAGAGAACAGAAGGACAGAAACATATCATAAAGCATAAATTTAACTGTGCTACTTGAAAAACAGGCTCTTGAAAAATCATGTGTGCTTTCTGGATACATATTCAGCACCAGTAAGCCTATGCTTTACATTAGTCACCAGAGCTCTTGAATGTAATTAAAAAAGAATCTTAATTAATTTAATTAAAACCATATCCAAGAGATTTTCTAGAAGTCAAGAAAAGGGAGAGTGATGCTGTAGAGGCCTTTCCAAAAGTGGTTTGTTTTTTTTTTGGGCGGGGGGGGGGAATATTAGAGATGGCACAAACAAGTTGTTCCACACTTCAGGGGGATATAGCCAACTGTTTCTGAAAGGCACTGACTAGCTAGCATAGGAAGGATACGCTACTGCAGTGGGATGATGTCAGAGATTGCGTGAGAGAATGAATCAGCCTCTGTGTGTGTGAAGGAAAGTCTGACTGAGCTGAAGCATAGGGCAGTTCTGAGGAAAACGAGGAGGCTGGGTTAAGACAGATTCTTTGATGCAAAGCCTTAAAATATCACAGGGCTTATGCTGCACTAGGACATGAGGAATGGGGATGAAGGGGTCTTCCAGGAGTCAGTACATGGTTCATCGAATTGTGGTGAAGGAGCCACTGCAAAACAGAGTGAAATGAAGCAGGGATTGAACCACTGGACAAACCATGGAAATAACCTTTGAAAAAGGGGTCTTGGCTCAGGATCCAACGGCCTTTCAATATGAAACCTAGAGTAGAGAAATCTAGAGTAAAAAGCAGTGAGATACAGGTCAAGATCAGGATGTCAGAGGAGTGACCAAGCTAAGGTACTGTATGTATAGGTAGGATTTAATGTTTGAGTATAGGAATATGAATGGACAAGATACACAATCTAGATATGTACATCATTAAAATCGACTGTTTATTGTTGGCTTGATTTGGCCCTCTAACATCAATGAATCAATTTAGATGAAAATTACACCAACATCTATGACAATTAAACTTTAGAGCAGCATGTCTCAGACTTATGAAAACAGCCTCCTTTCAGGAAAATGAAATCACTTCTCCCCATTAACCTAACCAAGGCCTGCCCAAAATAAGTGGTCTGTTGTGATAATTGTGATGCAGAGCAGGCTGTGCAGATTTTCATAATCTTCCTCTCCTTTCTTGCATGCTTTGGTAAACAGTGAAACAGTAAATAATGTTGACATTTAAGCCTCATCTTTGGCATCTGAATCTGCAGAACCCATTGAAGTGAATGGGTCAGCATACACCTCAGATTTAACATTTCAGGCTCTCTGCAAACTCAGGTTGACATCACAGCATTGGTTCCACTTAGATGACACTTCCAAGGTTTTCTCCACAGCAACTAGAGGTTAAGGCAGATTTTTAAAGGTATTTAGGTGCTCACGAATGCAGATAGGCACTTCTGAAAATCCCCACTGGGTGCCTATTTGTATCTTTAGACACCGAAATACCTTTAAAAATCTGGCCCTTAATTCTTTTTTGAACAAAAGCAGAGTCTCTGGAAAGCCACTGGGATACATGTCCTAGTCCCCCAACTGATCAGTTACACGTACAATGGGGCCTACCTCACACTTTAAGCAGCATTTCCTAGGGAATTGCATTCAGTTAAAAACAAGAAAGGAAAAAGAAAGGAAAACACCATTTTCTTTGTTACAATTTATGGTTCTATAAATCTGGGTACTATTCTTGGCTCTTCAATATCCTTGAGAAAGTTGCTTAACCTTTGTGTACCTCAATTCTCAGTCAGGTCTCAAGCCATCACCTGTCTCTGGGCAGGGAACTTGGTCCCACTCCATTCGGAGAGGCGGAGTTTTAAGGCTTCATAACTTCCTGCCTTAGACTAGGATATCCACAGAGAGCCAGTCTGCCTAAAGACCAGTGCTTGTGCTTTGCTTTCCGTCCAAGGGCTATGATCAGTGTATTGCCAGCAGTCACAAGCCACCACACAGCTAAACAAGCAGACATGTTCTTAAAAGGTAAAAGCATTACAGAGAAAACATGATAAAAACAATAAACAGATGTAAACACACACTGAACATACCAGGAATCACCCATCAGTCTTAAGGGGCCCTAGTAAGCCAGTCTTTCCAACCCTCCCACAAGGATAGGGGCCCTCCTTGGATAGTCCTGTCCGCTTGTTGGATCAGAAAGGAGGCCCTGAATCAGTTCACTCTTTTTTATAGCAAAAGCTCTTTCTGTCATGTGACTGGGACCTGGGCAAAATCATGCCTAGTGGGCAGAGCAGGAATTAGGCCGAACGGTCAGAACAAGAGTCAGTACCTAGGAATCAGAGCCTAGGGTCAGCACTGGAGCCAGATGACAGAGCCAAGAGCCACCGCCAGAGTCAGGAGTTGGAGCCCATGGTCAGAACCAGGTTACCCAGTGAGGCAAGGCTGTAACAAGGCAGGAGCTATCACAGCCATGGGTAAATGCTTTTAGCAGCCACTCAAGTGAACTGTGCAGATGCTGGGCTGAAGAGCCAGTGTGCTGACTTTTCCAACCATTCAGGCAGCACAGCCAACCAGGCAGCCTACTACAGGCCAGCTGCAACTGTTAGGTTGCCTGGAGACTGGCTCTGCAACAGCCTTGATTCCTGAAACTTTCTTTGTCTGATGGTCTCTGGAAAACTCAGTTTGAACCAGCATACGCAAACCATCCCACGGAGTGATCCATTTACAACCTAAGTGATTCACCTTAATCACCCCCCACACATTGTTTCTGGTTCCTGTAGGAGCTGAGATAACCCTCCCCCCTGGAGTTGCAGACAGTCGCTAGCCCAAAATGAT